CCGGCCGGGGCCCTGCCCTCGAGGCCGGCGGGGCGTCGAGCCTGGCCTGGTGCCACGGGCAGTGCCAGCACCCGGAGCCGCCACGGGCTGGCAGCCGCCATCGGGGTTCAACCCCGGGTTCCCCCGTCATGAATATTCAGCCGTGCCCTGGCCCGGCCCCGCTGTTTGCTCAGGCAGGAGGGGTTTGGTCGCGGGTTCACCTTGACAACGGGGCCAGCGGCAGGTAGCCGGCCCCTGCCTGCGCACCCCGGCCGGAGCTGCCCCGGCACCCCCGGGACCCCCGGGCTGGGCGGCCGCAGCGGAGACGTGGGAGGCACAGGTACGCAGACGGGGTGCCCGCGGTGGGGAGCGGGACGTGGAAATCCCCGCTGCCAGCCCCGGGGTCACGGCACGGCACGGCTGTGGTTCGGTAACGGGTCCCACCCAGCTCTGGCATGAGGAGGAGGCAGGCGTGGGCATGGCATTGCAGGGGGACACGGCAAACCAGCCCAGGGGGCCACCAGCCGTCTTCCCTGGGGTGGTGGCCCCAGTCTCGGTGTCCTTGTCCCCCTGCCCCGGCACCCAAAAGCGATGCCGGAGGCACCACCCGGGGGTTGGTCTGTGGGGTCAGTCATGGCTGAGCGCCGCAGGGGCACGGAGCTGCGCTGGCTCCCTGGATGGGAATGGGGACGGGGCACTGGGAATCCCCTCCCTGCCTGCTGCCAAGGAAGCGTTCAGCTCCTCTGCTCGGGAGCCGCCTTCCCCGGCCCTGCCCTGGAGCCACACTCGGCACCGGAGCCTTCCTGGATTGCCGGAGCCTTCTCGGCAGTGGCCGGGGCCCCACGGATTGCCGGAGCCTTCTCGGCAGTGGCCGGGCCCCCACCAGTGCTCCTGCCTGTCCCCGCAGGCAGGGCTGGGCAAGAGGAGAACCCTGACTCTGGGGTGCAGCAGGCGGTGACCCCCCAGCAGGGACCCCGGCACCTTCCCAGCTCCCACCTGCTTCCCAGTTCCTGTTCCTGTTTGCTTACTGGGCTCCCTCCCTGCCCCGCTACACACGGCTGACACGGCGGCTCCCGGCAGTGCCAGCAGCCTTTCCCCAGGGCTCGGCAATGCCCAAGTCACCCGAGCATCCCCTCCCGGTACCTGTGGGGTCCTCCCGCCCTGGGACCCCCAGCCCCAGCCCCACGCAGCCCCCCCGGCACCCACTACGAGCATCCCAGCAGAGACGGGGGGAGACCACCAGAGCCGCCTTCGGCAAACATGGCACCAGATTCCCCCCCGGTGCTGCCAGATCGGCAGGCCCGGGCCCCTGTGTATCCCTGGCAGC